TATATATATATAACCTAGATGCCCTTAAATAGATGAATGGATAAAGAAATGGTAATACATATATACAATGAAATATTATTCAGCATCAAAAGAGAATAAAAATATGGAACTTGCAGGTAAATGATGGAGTTGGAGAATATCATTCTAAGTGAAGTAAGCCAGCCTCCCAAAAACCAAAGGCTGAATGTTTTCTCTGATAAGTGGATGCTGGTCCATAATGGGGCAGGGGATGCGATGAGTGGAAAAACTTTGGATTGGGAAAAGGAGAGCGAGAGAGAGGGTGGGGGCATGGGTTAGGAAAGATGGTAGAATGAGACAGACATCATTACCCTAGGTACATGTATGATTGCAGGAATGGTGTGACTCTACTTTGTGTATAACCAGAGAAGTGAAAAATTGTGCTCCATTTGTGTGCAAGGAATTGAAGAACATTCTGTTGTCATGTATAACTGATTAGAATACATTAAAAAGAGAAAGATCTCTATTCTAAAAATTATAAAACACTGATGAAAGGATTGCAAGAAGTACAAATAAATGGAAAGATATTCAATGTGCATAGACTGAAAGAATAACTATTGCTAAAATGTCCATACAACCCAAAGTGATTTATACAGTCAATGAAATCTCTGCCCAAATTCCAATGGCATTCTTCAAAGAAATAGAAAAAAAAAACAAAAACAAAATCCTAAGATTCATATGGAATTACAAAAGACTAAAATTGCTAAATCAGTATTGAACAAGAAGAACAAAATTGAAAGCATTGTAAATCCTGATTTCAAAGTATATCACAAAGCCATAGTAATCCAAACTATATGATCCTGGCATTAAAACAGACACAAAAAATCAATGGAATAGAATTGAGAGCCCAGAAATAAACCTACACATCCAGAGTCAACTACTATTTGACAAGAGAATCAAGAATATGCAGTGCAGAAAGGAAAGGACAGTCTCTTCAGTAAACAGTGTTGGGAAAATTAGGTAGCTTCATGCAAAATAATGAAACTGGACCCTTACGTAGCTTAAAAGAGTTAACTTAAAATGGATTAAAGACACAAATGTAAGCCCTGAAATTATAAAACTCCCAAGGAAAATGCTCCTTGACACTGATCTTGTTAATGATTTTTTTAGATATGACATTGAAAGGACAATCAACAAAAGAAAAAATAAATAAATGGGACTACATCAGACTAAAAAGCTTCTGTGCAACAAAGGTAATAAGCAACAAAATGAAAAGGTAATCTCAAAATTAGAAAAAATATTTGCAAGTCATATATATGATAAAGGGTTAATATTGAAGATATACAAAACTTTACATAACTCAATATCAAATAATGAATGATGCAATGAAAATTGGGCATATAACCTGAATAGACATTTCTAAAAAGGAGACATACAAATGGCCAATAGTATAATATAAGATGTTAAGATCACTAATCATTAGAGAAATGCAATCAAAATCCTGAGATACCACTCCACACCTATTAGGATGGATATTACCAAAAAGTCAAGATACAACATCAGTTGAAGAGGATGAGAACCCTTGTATATGGTTGGTGAGAATGTAAATTGGTTACAGCCCTTATGAAAAAGTATGATTCCTCAAAAAAGTTAAAATTAAGACTTCCGCATGATCCAATGATCCCACTTCTAAGTATTTAAGTGAAGCAAACTAAATCAGTAACTCAAAGAGACATCTGCACACTGCAGTATTATTCAGAGTATCCAAGACATGATAACTACCTAAGTGTCTATTAATGAATGATTGGCTAAAGAAGACACACACACACACACACACACACACACACATACACACACACACCTCTGAACATTATTCAGCTATTTTTAAAAGAACCTGCTATTTGTGATAACACAATGAAATTGGAGGACATTATTACATGAAATAAGTCAGACACAGGTAAACAGAGTATTATCTCACGTGTGGAATCTAAAAAGTCAAACTCACTAAAACAGAGTACATTGGTAGTATCCAAGGACTGTGGGAGAAATGTTGATCAAAGGGTATAAATTTTGAATTATAAGATGACCAAATCCTGGTAATCTAATGTATAGCATAGATGGTGCTGAATAGATTAATTTTATTGTGATAATCATTATAATATGTATGTCAATTTATATACATTTCTTATTTACTATATATTTTCCATTTAAAAATCAAATATGCTCTTATAATCCAGAAAAAAAAGACAAATAAGATTTATAAAATATAATATATATGTATAAATAATATAATATGAATAAGAAAAGTAATATTAGTATGAGTTAATATTAAAAAACTAATAAAAATGAATTTAGAACAATAAAAGTAATGTAAATTATATAAAATATAAAAAATGTAATATACAAACTAACACAACACTTGTGGGCTCTCAGTAGGTAGGAGGACAGATGACATCCTTGGTGAGGAAGTGGTGTGGATAAGGGTGCATTAGCAGTTCCTCATGTGAGTGTCTCAAAAGCACCTCAAACTCCACATGGCTGATGTTGGACTCAGATCTCTGTAGGATGTGTAACTTTGCCCTGACATGTTTACCACATTTTTTCAAATTATTTAAACCAGAAATTGAATTATTTTAATTATTCAGCCAGAAATTTAGATATCATGTTTTGATACCTACTTTCTTCAATCATATCAAAATTATCCCTTCACTTGTCAATTTTAGCTCCTACCTTCTTTGTCTAGCTCTGTCTACATGCTACCTTCTTAGTCCAAATTACCATATTTCACCTGGATTTTTGTTACACAGGCTAACTTATCCACTATGGCCATATCCAGATTTTCTCCTTACTGTGAGCAGAATGATTTTCAAAATGTTCAAATTTGATTGAAAAACTCTTTTAACTTAACAAACAAATAATACTACTCAGGAAGTGTTTTGAGAACTTTATACATATTAACTAATTTAGTATAAACCCTCTGATTAAAAATTTTAGTGCTTTCCATTGCTTTTAGGAAAAAGGGCAAAATACTTCAGGTTGCTGATTGCCCTGCCAGGCAATCCTCTTGCGTCACTTGGCAACATTGAGCCTATATGTTCTGTAATATGCTAAAGGTCTTCTTAGTTCCTAAGCTCTCCCTAGCCACTTCATCATTACAGCCCTCCTGGTTAACGCCTTCTCTTTTCTGCTAATTCAACTCTAGCTACCCTTCAACTTTAGCTTCACCTCTCTTAATAGTGTGTTCATTTTCATATATTCTTATAGAAATATGTCCTTTTTCTTCCAAGCATTCTACTGCAGGCATCTTCCTTTCATTACTGTATATGCTGTATTAACACATATCTAACAGTCAGTTCCCTGAAAGCAGGTTCCCTGTAGTAGTTAATATGGTGCATGGCACAAAGTAGGGAGTTTAAGCCTTTTTGAGCAAATAGGAGACACAGAATGAATAAAACAATTACCAGGGAAAATTCTGGACTAATTTTCCTCTATATTATGTTCCCAACTACCAGAATTTGAATTATGCTTCCTCCAGAAAACTATCGCCAAAACCCATCTACTGTTTTCTGGAATGATTTTGAAGGCCATATTGAAAGAACTTGCCCATCAGTGCCTCGGTGGTTGTTAGAACTAGAAATTTTTCTTTTTGTAACTCTTGGTTGAACTATGAACAGTAGTAAAATCACAAAACTGCACTAAGTTGTGAAAACTTTCCATTTCTGGCTTTGATATCAGCAGTTCTGATCCTTTGTCATTTGGGTTTGGATCTTTCCTCACTAGACTTCTGGTGGAGAAATTAAGGTCTCTCTCTTCTTATTCTGCATATCAGGCATGGAATTTATTGAGTTCCAGTTCAATATGCCATTGATGCTTGAACTTCTATTTTATTACCACATACCCCAGTAAAAATCACTGTACTTGTGTCTTGGATCCTTAAGCCTGAGTCACTTCCCTGAGAACTTACCCTAGTTTTGTATAGATTTGTTTCATTATTAATTTGCCCAGACAGGCAGGAATTTTACCTCTGCTCCAATTCACTGAGGCTTCCCTAGGACCACCAATACTTCTGAGGCTTCTCAGTAATCTGACTGATTGAAGTCTCATCCTTCTTCTCCAAGTCTACTGATGATACCTTCCACTTGTTTCCCATGACGTCAACCTTGCTGGAATCCCTCAATTCTGGTTGCCTTCCTCTACACATTCTTGGCAACTGAAGTTAAACATGTGCCAGTTCCTGCTCATAAAGCTTATATGCTACAAAACTCACTGCTCCTTTTCTAACAGATGTTGCCCATGCTGTGCAGTTTTGATGATTCTGGACAGGGTTTTCTGCCACTTGATGTCAATACTATACCTATTATTTAGCCACATAGAGTCACTTTGTTGGAGTTTTCAAGAATATCATAATAAAAACCAAATGCCTCTAGGAAGATGAACACTCATACCTTTGTCAGAAATATATGCCAGATAGATGGTAGAGGACAGAGAAAGGCACTGGAAAGAACTTTAGGCTACTGCCAACTTGGTCTAATCCAGTATTTTCATTGTTAATTAGCCCTTTATCCACATATGCTTCTTATGCTGATTCCCCAAAAATTACATGGGATGCCCTGAAGTATGATTTGTAAGTATACCTTTATAGTTTGGCTCTGCTCTTTCTCTTTTCTATAATGTTCTTTTCTTATTCTGCAATTGGGCAAGTGCTATTTGTTCTTTAGAACATATTGAAATATCATCTCTCTGACACTAGCTCCAAAAATGTTCCCTTCAGGGAGAAAATATTTGTTCCCCATTATGTTATTTATAACATCATAGTATTTCCTTTTTTAGGATGTGAGCCCTTTAAGAAAAGATACTTTGCTTTATTAATCTTTGGATTTCTGGTTATTAAGAAATTTTAATTTTATTGGTTTGTTTGATAGCATTAAAGAAACATTTTACTTATTTTATTTGGCTTACTAAAACATTTTAAACCATGTATTTGCTATAAAATTTACATTTAGAACTTTTTGGAGCTGATGTGATATCTGTATTTTGTACTAATATAAAGAATATAGAATATTTTTTGGGTAAGATAAAAATTCTTTTTTTGGGGGGGGTTACGAAATTTACATAATTTTCTCTCTCCAACCTACCCTGCAAGCATCATAAATTCCTTCCAGATATCCAGCACAGAACATTCCAAATTTTATATCATTGCCATACACCTGTGGTTGCTTGCACACATCATTACTTATGATCTTCACTTTGGCTTCTCGTAGATTGTTTTGCGATTCCCCTGAAGAGAAAACAAAGCAGTTTTAATTTGTATAATGATCATCCTTACCTAGAGCAATGTTGAGAAGACTTGTTTCTAATCTTCATTCTAAAACTGTCAATATAGAATGAGGTTAACATAAGCAGTCCTAGAGAAAAAATTTCTAATTAAAATTTGGCACATTTAGGGATCATTATTTTCTATAACATTTTTATAAATATCTCTACAAGCAAGAAAACCTTTTGGTCCAAACCTGTAATCCCAGTGATTTGGGAGGTAAAGCCAGAAGGAGCACAAGTTTGAGGCCTATCTCGGCAAAAAAAAAAAAAAAAAAAGAACTATGGATGTAATCTTGAGCCTGAGTTTGAGTTCTATCCCTAATACCACAAGAAAAAAATCAGCTTATATTTTTAAAAGGCATTTCATTTTTTATGAAGTCTGTATTTCAGATTGTTCCCAGAAACTTTATATGCTTAGTTTTCTCTCTCAGCTTCATAAAATAACTATCATACCATACACATTTATTTTATCCTTTACATTAAAAAAACTTTTTTAAAACAAAGGATGAACCTTTGTTTTTATTCATTGATTTGCATGTGGTGCTGAGAATCAAACCCAGTGCCTCACACATGCTAAGCAAGCGCTCTACTACTGAGCCACAACTCCACCCCTTATACTTTACATTTTATAAAGAGCTTTCAATATATAAAATTAATTGACAAGATGGTATTTCTTATATAAGTTAGGTACTCTAGGTTATAAGCCCCCTGAAGTCAATATTATTGTAGGCAGACTTTGTATTAGACTAAAAATAGCCTATGCATTATGGGATTCCTTATGTATTGCTTCGGAAACCATGACACACTGGTTGCTAGATTTCTGGGATGGTCCGTCAAATTGTGGTGTGATTCTCCTCCCCCGAGAAGCATGTGTAAAACCTGTTAATATAATAGACATCATTCTCATGATTAGGTTAATGTTTTATGGCAAAAGTGTGTGAATTTTACAGTTGAAAGTAAGATCACTCATCAGATTGACGTTGAGTTAATCTAAAGGCAAATTATCTAAGGTAGGCCTGACCAAACTAGGGAAGGCTTTTCAGAAAGAACTTGGAATTTCCCTGAGTTGAGAAATACTTTCCCAGTGGCAACGAGGAAGCAAGCTACCATGAGTTCTAAAGCTGCAAGAAACAGAATTGTTTACAACAGGTAAGCTTAGAAGGGAATCCTGAGCCACTGAGACCATATCCCAGTTGATATCTTGATTGCAGTTTTGTGAGTCTCTGAGAAGAAGATCCCACTAAGCTGAGTCTGAGCTTGTGACCCATGGACATGATGAGATAATAATAAATGGGTGCTATTGTAAGCCGTGACATTTGTACTAATTTGTTATACAGTAATTGAAATCTATTACAGATGCCTTCTCAAGATTTTCAAGATCATTTTAAGATTTATTTTTGGAGAGCTATTTGCACATATAGCATATAAGTGAATAATTCAGAAATATATTAAGGAATTTTAAAAGTGATTTTGTTCTTTGAATACAATTATTTTGTCTACTACATTATCCTGTACAGTGCTGGGAAGGGTAAAGTGAAACTGACAATCTGTACTTTGTAGGTGATACTATAAATTCAAAACTTTTCCAGCAAATTAGTTGGTAAATATTTCACAATTATAAAAAGCATATCCCATAAATTTTGGATATCCCTCACTATATTTTATATACTGAGGAAATACTTAACATTTTTTACAAAGTATCAATTTTTATCAAAGAATTAGGTTTTTACATATCAATTTTCTTTATTGTTTTAAATTTTATTCATTTCTATTCTTTTCTTTATTATTTACTTACTTCTGCTTGTTTTAGGTTTATTTTTCTCTTCTATACTAGTTTCTTGAGGTGAGAACGTAGATTATTGATTTAACTTTCTTCTTCACTAATGCAAGCATTTGCTATGCATTCTCTCTTTATTTTACTGCATCCTGCATACAGGATTCAGTATTCATTCAGTTTAATGTATTTTAAAGATTTGCCTGTGACTTCTTCTTATTTAAGGGTATGATGACTAATTGTTAAGCATTTGGAGATTTTCCTGTTATTTTTACACTGGTGATTTCTAATTTGAACCTCAAAGAGAACATACTTCGTGTGATTTCAGTTTCTTTGTGTTTGTTAAGCTTTGCTTTGTGATCTGGTGTTGACTGATACTTAATGTGTATACTGCTGTTTTTTGATGAAATGTTCTACAAATATCAGATTCTATTGTTATTAACAAAGTATTATGGCAGGTATTTTTCTATGCTAACCTCAAACTACTGAGAGAAAATGAATTTTTCTACAAAGTCAAAGGGAATTCATGATGCTTCTCTCATAATTATGAAGCAGAGATTGCAAACCTTTTCTTAAGAGGAAACCCATCAGAAATAGTGTAGACATAGTGAGGTTATCAGGCTTGCCCCTTTAATCTATTGGAATAGATAACCTGTGGGTAGCATTTTCTGTGATTGGCAATAAGACCTTAAAGAAAGTGCTGAATATTCAGTATATACATAGAGTACTTGGAGAGACCACAAATCCTATTCTTGGCTATGTTAAAGAGTCTTCCTTGTCTCTTAATGGAGCTGAGAATTACAGGCGTATACCTCATATTTTGTTGTATGTAAATAAATTGTATAGATTTCTGATAATGTATTTTATCTTTCTCAGAAACCCCTTTTCACCTTCTCAAACCTGGAATTAAAGAAACCCTCTAACTATTGTTAAATATATGTGCCTGGACTACCTTATAGAATCCACAGTGTGCCTGGGAATGTTACGGAATAGTCAATAACCAAGTCATTATTATTTCCTAAGAGATTGTTAGTATATCGAATTGAATAATTTTAGAAAATAAAATATGGTTTGGTGATCTTATCTCTATGCTCTTTTTATTCACAATCACCCTCAAATTAACCTCTTTAGTAAATTTTAGAAAACTTTGAAAGTTTTAGAAAATTATAGAAAACTTTGCTGCAGTATTTGAGTATTTGAGTCAGTCATTCAATTGAAGCATCACTAGGCCTGCTGTTGGCAATGTTTGCCACTAAGTGGAGCTAGAATCCCTCCAAATGAAGCTAATTGAGGACAATAGAGCCAAGAAATACAGTTTCCAAGATTGAGAGCTCAATGACACCATACAAACTCATGGAACCTAGCTGTGTCTAAAGTCACTTCTTACTACTATTGACTTCCAAGGTATAAGGGCCATTTGCTGTTTTTGTTTGTTTTGTCTTTGTTTCTGCTTTGGTTCATTTGAATTGAATTTCAGTCACTTGCAAAATAAGGACCCCTGACTAACACAACCAAACTGTGGAAATTACTGGCAGGATGATACTAGTGGAGATTAAATCACACTGCCCTAAAGGGACTTAGCCTTTCTTTAGCTTTTCTGAGATACCTACCACCATAATAAAGTGCTCCAAATCCTGTGATGTAGACAGTGGAATTTGGTGGGAAGGATGCAGAAGCTTCTGGCAAACAAATCCGGCGTATGTCATCTGAAAAGGTGACTCTAGGATGGAACTGCACAACGGCAATGTCATACTCCCTTGCTGGGGAGTGATATCGCTCGTGGACAATGATTCTCTTTACTTCTCTTTTCATTAAGGGAGGATTTATTGTTGTTCCAAAAGTAACAGTCCATTGACGTGGATTTGCATTACTGGAAAAGGTTAGAAATTAGCAGAATATGTGAACTACCAGAACATACGAACAACATTAATTGCATTTAGGCCAATAAAGAGAAAATACCATCTTGATAATACTTGGTTGCAATTATATCTTTCTTTGATCATTTGAACAGTCTATTGCTAGTATTTTTTAAGGATAAATATATGCAAATAACTATATGGCACATACAGTATTATTTACCTATTCCTTCAGCAAATACTTGTTGAGAAACTATGTGTTGAATATTATCAAAATGCTAGTGACAAAGAGATGAACAAGATATAAGTTTTTAGATAACAGGACTATTAGGTTTGAGGGAAGGAAAAAAATCAAAACAAATTAAAAAGTAGATAAATAACTTCAATATTTATTATTTATAACTACTTCTAGTTATATATATAACTAGAAGTAGTTAGGGAAGACTTTTTGGGGAGAACAACACTCTTAGGCTGAGACATGGCAGATGAGGAGTAAGCAGTAAGAGGATAAGGTAGTCAGGTTTCCAGGCAAACATCCAAAGATCTTGGACCAGATGGGCTTTGATTTAGAACATGAAGTTAAGGATGGTGGACGATGAGATTAGAAAGGTAGACAGGCAATAGAGTATCTTATAGGACATGACAGAGTGCTTAAATTTTATTCAAGTAGGAATCCACTTGATGTTTTCAAGGAAGGGAGTTATGTAGTCTCATTTACATTTTCAAAAAAACCACATAGGTTCTTTCTGGAAACTAGATTGTTGGATCTATTTAATAGACCTTGTATTTTATTACATTTGTAGATGATAATAAATCTGAAAAAAACCCAAAATGAGATACACTAAAACATAATTATGCTTTTTAAACTTTAACATTCTAACCTGAGCTCAAATCCACCAGATGAAAATCAATGCTAATTAATGATGAGAAACATAAATGTGTAGGAATTTAGATTCCAAAATAAACTGCAAAAATCCAAAATGTTGACACCTGGCCTGGGAGCCATCCCTAAAAAAACAATCTGAAAATTTCATTATTATTTTTAAAAATAACAAATATATGATGAATTTTCTTAAGTACTAACTCTATATCAGACTGAAATAATATCAAACAATCTCAGGGTGGGAGAGGTCATAAAAATTGTTTAGTTCTCCCTCTGATCCAGTGTTTGAAAGATGAGTCTTGACATCAGGAATTATATGCTTGTTTTCCATTCTGCCCTCTCCTAACATTGTGACTATGGACAAGTTTCTTAAATTTTCTTATCCCCCCCTCCCATTAAAAAAGGGCTTAACCAATTAGGGCTTATTTAACAGAATGAATATAAGAATTATATAAAAGAATTCTTAAGCACCTAACAAAATGTTCATAGCATAATGGAGCTTAATACTTGTTGCTAGTCATTGCTACAAAAACACTCTCAAATAGTGATTGTCTATGCCTGAGCTCTTCTGCAGATGGAGGCATGTTCTTTGCCTTAGAATCCCTTTCTTTATCTTGGAATTCCTTTCATCTGTGAGCAGCTCTTTGCAAGTTCTTTCTTGATTCCTTAAATCTCTTCTACATGAGAGTACTTCAGATCTATTAAAACAACTATCATCTGTACCAAAGCTTTCTCAGGAAAAATTTTCATCTTCTAGGGCAATATTTCTCAACTTTTGATGTGCATACAAATGCTTAGGAAATATTGTTCAAGTGCAGTTCTTGATTCTGTAGTTCTGGAATAGATCTTCGATTCTTTCCTTTCTAACAAATTCCATAGCAGTGTAAGGGCTGCTGGATTGTGGATCATATTTTGAATAGTAAGACTATGAATATACCATCCTTTGCTTTACCTTCCAAGAATCTCTACTCTGAAAGCACTTTGTTTTGTGAAGTGCTCTTTAAGTGTGTCATCCAGGAGAGAATTTACTAACCCAAGTTGGCTCTGAGAAACAAAGAGTCTAACATCTAGTTTATTCTGAGCTCCAATTTTTTAAAAGTGAAATCTAAATCACAATAAAGTATTGTAGACAACTGACTCCAATCAAGCTATTTTCTGATAAAAATTTCTTAATAATTTTTACTTTAAAGCATATTTCTGCTTTTTGTAATGATACTCTTTTTTTCTGACCCAAGTTAGAGCCTTACATGTATACTTGCTAAAATTAATCATTTAGTTCTTGCTCATTAACATAACTAAGACGTTTAAAATTTCTCTTACCTAAATATCCATTTCTCTTCCAGCCTTATATTATCAGCTAATTTGGTGAACACAACTTCCATATCATCTGTCAGCTCTAGAAAATATACTATGTAGGACATGGGGAGGCTAGATTTCTTAGGTAGGTCATTCACTATCCTCTGTATTTTAAGATATTCTGAATCATTACCCTTTGAATAGAGTTATTGTATTGAGTAAGTTACCCGTTACCCTTGCATTACATTTATATTATTTTTCTGTCCCATAGTTTCCTATTTTACTTTTTCATGTATGAAATTACTCATATTATCAATCTTGGTGTGTAGTCCTTGGAAGTATATTTTAAGGGAGAAACTGACAAAAGCTAAACTTTTGAAGAAGAACCAATATGAAAGGGGATCTTGAAGTTGGTTCTGTGAAAACAGAACAATAATATTTGTTTTCATTTATGTTTTGGAAATTCTCATTCATTTTTATGTTTGGCCTGAAAAAGAGAATCTAAGAACAACTGTTCAATGGATGAAGAAATAAGTTTGGTTCCTGCTGTTCCAGATGAAACAGCAAATATTAGTGTTGAAATCTATTAGAGCTCAGATTTAGTGTTCAATGTTATAAAGATATGTATGTATTCTATTAAGAATCTCTATATGGATTTATACTCAAAGATGGATTGTGTTATGATAACAAAAGTCAGGTTAAAAAGGTTTATAGGTTAAAAGGAATGTGAGATGATCTTGTTAATCTATTTCCTCTTTTTGTTTTTCATCTGTTTCCTAATACAGTGAAGTTCAGTAAATAATCCAAGGCCACAAGCATTTGACCCAGCTCTCCAGCTGGCTTGGAATGTTCTGCCCACAAAATCTGCTGCTACCCATTTTACTGAGATACTCAGAAAGCTTTGTAATGGCCACAGTTCATACTGGACAACAGCCATAAATTTAATCTCCTTAGAAAGAAATCCCCAAATTTTAAATACAATAGTTATTAAAAAATCCAACTGGTTATTATCTTGAAAAAATAAATTTATTTTTTAAAAAGTCATTTTATATTATACTTAATAAAATGTGTTGTACAATAATGCTCTCAATGAATAAAGAATTGATTAATTATTAACTGTTCATTTGAAACAAATTACATGATAGTACACTAATTTTGCCTTGGGCTTATCTTTTGTAGCAGTATTGTCAAGAGGTACTCTATTATGCAAAGTTTTATTGGGTAGCTCAAGAAGCCCTTCTAATTCTTTAGTGTTCAGGAGAATCTCTTATCTAGTATCTATCCTTATCCTCCTGCTAATTTCTCATTTGGGTTATGAACTTCTCTAATTTTACCCAATTTACATATTATAAAGCTACACAACTTGATTTGTGCCATTCTCCCTCATCGCAGTTACCAACTTCCTGTATCCATGGAAGATTTCAGTTTCATTTTGCAATTAATTTGATTATTTATTATCAGCATAAGATTGACTCAAGTGTTTAGCAGAGAGAGGTACTATTATTATTAAGTGGAGAGCATTGTTTGACATAGGACTAATTTTATATATTGTTAGTAAATATTTTGTGTTAGGATCACTTCTGTTCTCTTACAGTTTCTTTATTTAAAACTCTGAGGACTTGATTAATGAACACTAGGATAATTATTATAAGTTCCTTAATTCCCACCAACCTTTCTAAATTTATATATGCAGGTATAACATTATTTTAAAAAAAAGGATCTGAAAAGTTCTCTTATTTTACTTCAGTAATATTTGGGACACTAATTATTACCCAGAATATGATAAAATCTCAAGGATTTTTAACAATAGTGGTGTCTAGTTGAAGATCAACTTACTTTTTAAAGCAGTGTGCTGCAGTGACAAGCCACCTGTCACTAATCAAGGTGGCCCCACATTGATGGATGTTACTTCGCTGAAGGGAAGCTTGCCAAGGCCAGGCACCCTTGTCTGCAAGTTCTCCAGACATTATTCTATTGACTATTAATGGAACAGCTCGTTTACCGCAACCTTAAAAAGATGAGATCATTAAGTTATAAGAAATGTGTAGTTAATGGTTTATACAAAGAACCTAAGAGAGTACTGCAATACAATAATTGCATGTATCATTGTATAAGCATGCACTAAATCACCATCCATTCTCTGTATTTCTTGATGTATTGATATTTTGCTTACTCCCTCCCTTTGTAGATGTGGATATATGTTGCCTACTGAAGCCTTGTTAAGCTGCATATAGCTTACGCACCACAAAGTGGTAAATCGGGCCTGTGAATTTACTCGTTAATTATCCAATTATTCTGGGAGCTCCCATTAATATTGTTTCCTAGTTTTGAGTGATTCAGCAGTGTTACTTGACATGACTTCCTCATCGAAAGAACTCCCTATGGTCAGATAAGTAATTGCCTGTTATTAATATTATTACTTCTTTGTAACTCCCCTCCCATCTACTTCTCTGAGTGACTACTTTCTAAGGTGAGCTTGAATTAATGTATCATCACCAGTTCTTCACTCTTCAAGGTGGAAGTTTCCATATAAACATCACATTCACTATTGACATAAATAAAGATGTGTTCTGTCATGTGAACCAGAAATTACTTTGCTGCTTCTGCTACTCATACTTAGGGGTCCTGTTAGGAATCTAAACTATTGAGCACAATGTTAATAAAGAAAATATGGTAGGTTCAATTCTTTTTTCAACTAAGTATCAAAAAATAAAATTTATTTATCTGATAATAAATATGCTTCAAACATGTCCAGCTGTTTTAGAAATCTCCATTCCTCTGTCATTTCTCTAGTTTAGACTGTCATTTTTCCTCATCTGAAGAACTACAACTGCTTTTTTCTTCATCCCACTATTTCTAGGTTTGCCTCTCCAATTTGTTCTTCATACTGGAAGCCAAGTGATCCTTCTGAAATGTGTGAAAACTTCACACTTCATTGTCCTCCAGATACAGTAAAAATAGTTCAATATGATCTGGTCCTCAATTAATATTGACCACACCTCAGTCCCTCCATTTTATTCTGCATTTCAGCCATGTTCACATTTTTCATTAAAAAATGACTATGTTTTAACTAACTTAAAGGCATTTTATATTCTGCTCCCCTGGCCCAGAACACTTACTCCCAGTCACTTGATCACTTTCTAACTCCACAAGACCAGATTAGGTAAATCTCTGGTTAACTCTCATAGCACTGTGATCTTTCTCTGTGAAAACATTTATCACACTATTTTAGTATTTCTTAATTTATTTGTATCTTCCCTTACCTTGGAATTTTAAGTTTGAATAAGATCATGTCTTATTTGTAATGGTACCTACCATCCAGACATACTTTCTGGCACTGGGTAGATATTGAAAGAAATTTATTGAATGAATGAATAAGTGAATAAACATATTTTGGGTGTTCTCAAGACACAGAGGCAAAAGCATAAACATTACTACTCAATTCTTCCTCATTTTTGTAAAAATTTACAAGATGCAAGTCACAGTGAATTAAAGTGAGTTAGTGAAGTCACTGTCATCTATGAAGGTAAGGATATTAAGTATATTTTGTATGGTCAGTCTCAGATAATGGAGTTTATCTTTTCCTTATGTATCTCTATCTCATCATTTTATTTCTCGGCAGAAAGAAAGCATATTTCATAGCACTTTAAAAAATTAGAAAAGCAAGCCAACTTATTCCAAACAAGAAATATAAACTTTCTTTAGAATTTTTAACATGTAAAGTGTTTTTTCTTGAACACGACTTTAAAATTTCAGTCACTGAATTTGAACAACAGTATTAACATCTATTTCAAAGTTGTTTTTCTTTCCCAAAGAAAGTATGAAACATAAATGGGAAATTATGAGCTAATATTTGAAGATAGCTTTCATGATGTGAAAATTCAACTTGTTTATATAAGCTAACTAGACTTACATGCTTGGACAGTTAGCTTCCCTGTTGATGAGCTCATTGCTGAAAAACAAAATGGGACAAAGAATGATAATTTGCTATTCTCTTGGTTGGTCTCAATGACCAGGAATTATTAGAGGACATTGGCCATATATGGATTCTAGATAGGTGAGCAGGAGATTCAGGAGATTAGCTATCTGATTTAGCAATATATGTGTGCATTTTTGTTGAGATTTAGAGGCAACCTCTAACTAAGTACATAATATATCAAGGAGTGTGAAAGACAAAAATGGTGCATGATTAAAATTCACAAATACTTTCTATTAATACAGAACTGTGGCTTTCCAGTGGTGCAGGGTAAAGTTCTTTTGTATTCCACTTCAGGAGACATGAACAAGCAAGTAAGTAGATGGGTCCCAGGCCACAAAGCTTGCCTGAAGCAGACCAGGTTGACTTTTGTCCCTTTTACTTAAAATGTCACATAAGCCTTTCTTTTAGGTTAAGTGTTTAGGTTGAAAAAACTTGGAAAATTCCCACAAAAAATTGTATTTAAAATACTTCTAAAACAATTCTTAAATGATCAAAATGCTTTATTTTTTAAAAAAGACTAAACTATTGTGTATTCTTATCTAACATCTGCTAAATATTGGTAAATGTCAATTATTGTCAATTTCCAACATCATTAGGAATCTAATAAAGGAAGAATATTTAAACATATATTTAAATATTTGAACATATATTTAAACACATACTATTATTTAAAAACACATATGTGTTACATATGTGTAACATATATGTAACATATACCATATACAAAGTATATATATATATATATGTATATATATTATTTTTAGTTGTCAATTATACTTCAGTAAAACTGAGAGAAAATAAATTGATATAAGGAAGTTTATATGAAAATTATAATGATATTCAGGTTAAATGGTTCACTGAATAGACAATAATAAACTTATTTTTTTCTACTAGTGCCATGTTTCTCAAACTTAAATTCTCAGCACCATATTTCCCTTTGTGCAAAATAAGAATGTTTGTTGAAATTTCTATAAATCCCATGTGGGAAATTAGGATGATGAACTCTGTAGTGGGGATTGAACCCAGGCACATTTTACCACTGACCCAGTCTTTTTTTTTATTTTTTATTTTTAGTTTCAATCACAGATCTTATTTATTAAATATTTAAGCATTTAAATTTTAACACTGTGTATATATATATATATATATATATATATAAAGAACTACTAGTTTGATACCCAGAATACACAAAATGTTATTTTTTAAAGTTTATTCTTTTTTTCCCTTATCTTTTTAAAATTAAATTATTTATTTAATTTTAATTTGTTATATATGATGGCAGAATGCAATTCATTTCATTTTACACATATAGAGCACAATTTTTCAAGTCTCTGGTTGTACACAAAGTATTTTCCCACCGTTCGTGTCTTCACATAGGTACTTAGGGTAATGATGTCTAATTCATTGCACCATGCTTCCTACTCTCATGCCCCCTCCCTTTTACTTCCTCCCTTTTGCCCTATCTAAAGTTCCTCTATTCCTTCCATGCTCTCCCCCATTGCCATTATGAGTCAGCATCCTCATATCAAAGAAAACATTTGGCCTTTGGTTTTTGGGATTGGCTTACTTCACTTAGCATTATATTCTCAAGATATATCCATTTACCTGCAAATGTCTGGTTTTATTCTTTTTTAATGCTGAGTAATATTCCATTGTTTATTTTTGACACATTTATCTAATGAAGTTCCCCACACATGGTTATTTGTCAAAACAAAAAGATTCTAGATAAATTATGGATTGAATGTTGAGTTACAGGGTTTTTTCAAGAATTGACTTAGAATGTTTTCAGATTTTTATTGTTTTTGGAAGTTCTAAGATGAAGTATTTCTGGAAAGCACTGTTTTTGCCGATAGGAATTGCCTTAGTGGTGCTACTGAGCTTTCCCCTATATGAACCTTTCCTAGGTGAGAGTAAATGGAAATTCTGAAACTTTAAAGGTTCCAGCTCTTTTTACTACCAATCATTCATACTAATGCTTTCAGTTTTCCAGATTATATGCCAAATTTAATAGGTTCCTAAGTAGTAATAGCTTCAATGTTCTATGTTGTGTTTTCTATTTTCTTATGCATTCTTATATTTCTGTGATTTCAGGAAGAACAAACATTATCATTGCAACTTTACAGAAGAGAAAATAGGCACAATAGTATAGGCCAATTACTTGAGTCTGCAGTGACTCAGTGGAGTTAGAATTAGTTAGGTAGCTGTCAAATCAGTTTTTCCATCAGTACATCCTATCTTTTAATCTAGTGCAATTATTAAAATAAGGTGAAACATACAAGCTGAGTCCATAAGGTACAAAAAGTCAGGTATCTAATGACTGTTTCATGCTTCATTCCTGGTTTTAGATAGCTCAGTCTTTTAAAGTTCCTGGCAAATTAACTTTTTACTGGAAATTACATATAACAACACGTAACTTATCAGAATGGCCACCATTTCACAATCTCAATTTGTGTGCCTCCTTACCTAACAAAGAAGGTGGATTAAGCATTTGACAGGTTCCTCCTTCCTCTCTGGGAGAGGTTCACAGCTTTATTCCCTGAATAGCTGACTGTCACATCAGCAAACTTCTGCCCATTCTATTACCTCAGATTTTCACTTCCTGGTGAGATTTCCTCTTGAAGAGTCAGCTAGATCCTACAGGGCAGGGTATCCTGTTTCACATCCAATATAAATCACTTGTTCTGACTCTCTTTTGTGACTCTTAAGTCTGGTATACATTGGAATTTGTAGGGGAAATATGTACTTGTCTCCCAGAAATAGGTGCTATGGAAGCAGCTTGGTATACAAAGGTAAACAAGTTTCTGTCTACCTACACTCCTCAGAATCTCTAATATGCTAATATAGGGGATAATTTTCCAAGAGACAAATATCATGGACAGAATTTCTAAAATGTGTTTTAACACAGAACCCCTTTTAAATGAAGTCTATCAAAAAAGGTAGAGGTCTAGATTTGAATCTTAGCTCACTTTAATTATTAGATTCCTTAACTGTTTTTGCCTAATTTTTACATCTATGAAGTTGAGTTTCCCTACCTCATTGGAATATAGAAATTAGATACTGCATGGACTTAGAGAGGGTGTAGAGATGGGTCTTAATAAAAGTTTCTTTAATTTATGGAAGTGATGGTGGTGTAATGAGCTAAGGGTGAACCAAAAAGAGAAAAGTGGACTATGTATAAATGGCTTTAGAGAATTTTTTTCTAGTTTGCTGATTTTTTAAAGCATTATTTATCAGATAGCTTTTGGGGTTTCAAAGTTGGTTTACCATTTTCCAGAATGCTCATATGAAGAAACTTAACAAAAAAATTAATAACATCACCATATACAGAAACTATCCATAAAGGCAACAAATGAGTTTTGTTTTTGGAAGGTCCCACCCAGAAATATAATTATCGCTTAACTCTTGGTATTTTCACTTGATTAGTCATGGAGGCAATGACTTTACCATTAACCCTCTGTTGGTGGTAAAGGTTATTTGGGGATGAATGTCAATTTATTTCTTCCAGGAAAACCACTGATGACTAACTTCAGATATGCTTTCATCAGAAGATAATAAAACCTTGAAAGATCACTTAAGTTGAGAAAATTTTTCATATGAATTTGAGCTATTATTTGAAATGGTAATAATGACAAATAAGTTTCTAATTATATAAAAAACAGACCTAATAGAGACTTCATATCATGGGTAAAGTACCTACTTACCATTAACTTGAACTGAGGAAACATCTATTGGCAAGGCTCTTTCATTTCTTATCTTCTGATTTAAGATGCTATGGATTTTCTTCTCTCTTACTGTTCTTTGCTCAGTAGAAGGGAACTGGAACACCATGACGATGTCTGCTTTTACACCATCTATTTCTGGACTATAACATGCAAGAGAAAAGTACATATTCAAAGAATGCATCTGGTTTTGTCCTACACTCTTTCCTTTATCTTTTTCTCCTGAATTATACCTCAATTGATGAGTGTTAATTCACATTCATACTCTTCTATGTGTCACTGTCTTACCTAATGCCATTTCACGTTTCCTCTTGCCTTTTATTATTTTATTACAGCAGTTGGGTGAGATTCAGATTAAAAAGTCATCATCAAAGTAAGAAATTCTGAAAGTTGGAAGAAACCTTCCTCTTCTCTTAGGTCAATCAATGATACATTTGGTAAATGAACCACCTCTACACCATCCATGACAAGTGGTCCTCCAACCCAACGCAGTCATAAAATAATGGAAAATTTACTTCCCAAAGAGACTATTTTCTCTCTGGTCAACTCCGATTCTAAGAGTTCTTTATTTTAAGTTCAAATATATCTCCCTTTATGTTTTCCCTAAGTCTTAAGGGAAACTGGAACATACACAATGAATCAATTTCCTTTTCCACATAAATATTTGAAGATAATGAAGTGTGGTCCCTGAGTATGCTCTAGATTAAACATGCTCAGTTTTTTGAATTTTTCATACAAAGTGGTTCAAGACTCTTCACCTATGGAACTGAACTTTTTTTAAGTGTTTTTAAAATTTTTTATGGTGCATTATGATTATACATAATAGTGGGATTCATTATGCAATATTGGAATGTGCACATAATTTGATCAATCACATTCCTTGGTTCCTTCCCTTTCCCTTCCTGCCTCCCTAGATCTACTTTTTCTACTTTACTGATCTCTCTTTCACTGTTATTATTATTTTAATTAATGCAGTATAATTATATGCAAAAGCAATATTCATTGTGGTATAATCTAACATGAACATAGTATAATTTGGTATATTTCATTCCCCAGTATTTCCCTATACCCTCCCTTTCTCCCTCTCTCTTGATCCTGTTCATCTATTGTATTAGTCTTCTTCTTACTTTCATTAGACCCATCTCCTACCACTTTTTTATTCCTTTCTTTCTGTCTCTCTATCTTCTACGTATGAGAGAATGCATATGACACTTCTGAGTCTGATTTGTTTCTGTCAGCATGATGTTCTCCAGCAAATGACACATTTTCATTCTTCTTTATAGCTGAGTGAAACATCATTGTGTATATGTACCAGATTTTCTTTATCCATTTGTCTGTTGATGGCTGGTTCCATAATTTGGCTGTAGTAATTGTGCTTCTATAAACAATTGTATGCATGTATCACTATAGTATGTTGGTTTAGCTCATTTGGATAAATACCAATGAGGGGGATATCTGAGTCATATGGTGATTCTAGTCTTAGTTTTTAAAGGAATCTCCATATTTTTTTCCAAAGTGATTGTACTAATCTGCAGTCCGGTGGAACTGAAGTATTACGCTCTCTTCAAATAGGAAAACCAAATTAATTCAAGGTCTTTTTAAAAACTAAAATTAATATGTATTAATCTGCTATGTCTCTTATTTTTATGCTACAAAAGATCAAAGCTCTAAAAAACATTGGAAGCCTATCATCCTGAATTTTTGACTGAAAAGTGTAAATTATATTAATTCTGAAACATTTTGTGTGTTGTGGTCCATTTAGGCTCTGGAATATAGACACATAAATCATCAGAATTTTATGTCAAATTGGAAAACATGTAACCAAGTAATTTTTCATATTAAATCAAAGGAATTAATACTATTTACCATATAGAATTTCTCTGGATTCCCCACAAAATATTGCATAATGGTAGTGGCTACAAATCCAAAGGAATTCATGCAGTGATGATAATGCTAGAATGCTATGGCAAACAAAGTGAGAAATCTAGGAATGCTTTTGTCTTTTAAATTGTCTAATTTGTATTATAAAATCCTTATGGAAGTTCCTAGATATCAGTAAAAATGTAAAAAATTTGGAATAAGTCTATCAATAAGGCATTATTAGTCTATTGGTAATAAAAGTGATTATTATTTCCTTCAAATAAATTCATGTCTGAATAGATTCTTTTTCCCTAAGAACATGAGGCATGATTCAGGCACTGTGGCACAGGCCTGTAATCCCAGTGGCTCAGAAGGCTGAGACACGAGGATCGTGAGTTCAAAGCCAGCGTCAGCAAAAGTGAGATGCTAAGCAACTCAGTGAGACCCTGTCTCTAGATAAAATACAAAATAGGGCTGGGGATGTGACTTAGTGGTTGAGTGCCCCTGAGTTCAATCCCAAGTACCTCCCACCCCAAAAAAGAACATGAGCTATGCATGTTTATGGGTTTGTGCATATGACATATATTTTCTGTTGCATGATTTTTGAAATAACACAATTGAAACCTTTGGACAATATCTACAACTGATAAGAGTCTTTTCTCTCCACCATAACAAAAGAACATTTATTTCTCCAGGAAGATCTTTTTGTTTGGACATGCCTCCTGTAACTAGTGTTTTATTATAGGTAAAACTCATGATTACCTTTTGTAGTCAATTTTGTCTTTTTAATGTTTTTGAAATGACTTATCTGTCAAAAGCATATAACTCGGTGCATGAAATGACATGCTGCTGGATTTTCTTGAGGCTTTGGGTTTTGACAGATTCCAGCTCATAAATCATCAGTGGGGTCTGTGTCCTGGTTCTGTCACTTGGGGCAGAACTGTCCATTGGGGACTTTGAATACATCACTTACCCTGATCCCCAAATCTTAGTTTTTTTTTTTTTTTAGTTTACAAAATGGTGGTCAGTCCTATATCTTGAGATTATTGGAGGTAATGTTTATGAAGAATCCTAGCCAATAACCTAGTCACATATATGAGGCTCCTGTGTCATTTGCCCTTTGTCCCTCCAGGCTTGTGACTATCCCTTTGCCCAAACATACATACGTTAGTCTGATTATTTGGTTCTTGATATAGTGCTTGTTCAAGGCTGAATTAATAAATATTTCATCCACCTGTGATTACAGAGAAAAACTATTGTTAATAAGATATCTTGTAATAAAACTATACTCTTGAATTAATGTTAAAACAATAGAAATACAATTTCACAGGAGTAACATCATCATTTAAATCAGCAATCCTCAAACTTCACAACAGAATTATTTGCTCAATTGAAAACATGATTTGGGGCTTCATCTTCCAGAATTTTGGTTTCAATTGTTCTTACAGAAACCTAGACACTCATATTTTTAAAAGTCTTCCCATAAATTTCTAATGTTTGGTGTGATATTTAGAAGATATCACTATACATTTTTTCTTAGTAGAAAGGCACCACAAAGATGGAACATAGAACAAGGCTTTGAGAAGTGGTAGAGAGGACTTTATCTCCATCCTGGGTTTGAACCTATTCTCTTGATCATGAACCGGGCAGCCTTGGAAAAGCGACTGAACCAATGTGAGTGTATTTCCTAACCTGTAAGACAAAGATAGTGGTATGTCACTCGCAAGGCTAGGAAGATGAAACACATAAAGTTTCAGGATTGTTTTGATAAATAGTTACTGGTGGTTCCCTACCCTGAATTCTGACATTATAGGTCTTAATTTCTCTGCAGGTCTTTGGTTGTAAGAGACAAGGTGGAGGCACTAAGGATTTAGGAGACAGCCAGAGATTTTTAAATAGTTGATTACCAACTTTAGGGTAAATAACAAAGGAAGAGAAAGTAAGATAGTGTTACAATAACAGATCACATTGTACTCTTAGCCAGCTTGGTGGTGCAAGCCTATAATCCCAGCGGTTTGTGAGGCTAAGGCAGGAGGATCTCGAGTTCAAAGGCAACCTCAGCAAAAGCGAGGCAGTAAGAAACTCAGTGATACCTTGTCTCTAAATAAAATACAAAATAAGGCAGGGGATATGGCTCAGTGGTTGAGTGCCCCTGAGTTCAATCTCAGTATCCAAAAAATAAATAGATAAATGAAAGAATTACACTATTTAGTTTATGTCACCAAAAAAAAAAAGAATAAAAGCAAATGACTTTGGAACATATACAACAATTTTAACTGCCTGCCACACAGCATCGTGCTATTGTGGTCTGTCACACCTAGAGTTTGCCTGACAATATCCCCTAGTAACCACTTGGTGGCAAAAATGTCATCTTAATGCAAGTACCAGAGGTCATGGTAGACAACAGATGAGCCGAATGTATGGATGGAGCAGGGGATCCTAAATCCTAAAGGAAGGGGCAGGAAAGCCCACTAACTAAAAAAATAAATAAATAAAACAAAACAAAATAACAAATGGAAGTCTGTTTTAGGGATCAAGGAATAAGTTAGGACTATCAGGAATTCATAGATGCTTCACTTGGAACCAAAATATTAATTATTTCCTTTAACCCTTAAAGTTATTCCTGGTAAAAAGAATTATTGTTCACTGTTTTACTAAAAGAGACATTTTCCTGGCTTTACACAGATAATGACAAACAAGGACTTAAATAATGACAAACAAGGATTGAACTCAGGTCTTGCCTCTTTGTTAAATATAATACTAATTTTGCTTCAATTTATTTCCTAGAACACAGAGCAATAAGCTTTCAAGTAGTTGATTGATCAAGATAACTTTGTATAATACTTGTAAAACATATACTTGATAATAGCTTTAAACATAAGTTCAAAGGCAGAATTTAAAGAATAAATTGTTAGTATTTAAAATATACCCTTATCTGTACTTATATAAGGAAAGAATAAATTTGGTGGTTTGCAGCTTATATTCTAGAAATGAAACTATTTTACAAGATGTGTTTTTGCAAGAGTGATAATGGCATATTCATTTCTTTTTACCCACAGTCAATACTATTCCTTGGTAATGGGAGGAAAGTCTGGAAAAAAAAAAGAAAAAACAAACCAAAAGAAACAGGGAGAAAAGCAATAAATTTTAAAAGGAATAAAAGTTAATGGCACTTGGATATTTAAAGAAGTTTGGTTTGCAATTATCCCCTGAGTAAGTTCCATGTGCAATGGATTCTTGGCCATTTGTAACTTGTGGATAATTTTCAGCTGTATGATAGCATGTATGATAGCATCCATCTGGCACATGCCTGTGGGGAAAAAAAGCTAGACACAGTATTAATTCCATCTTTGAACAGTTAGGTTCTCTGGGAAGATAGTAACTGAAAGAATAATGTGGAAAGAATCTAAGTAGAAATAACCCATGTGATCACAATAATAAATAATTTTCTTCTTTATAATTCAAATTCCAGGACTCTGTCTCTAGAAAGACTCATTAATTCAATCTGGGATGAGGCTCAGGGATCTTGAGGTGATACAGGCAGTCTGAGGACAACACTTTGGGAAAAGAAGTTCAAAAATTGGTAAAAAGAGTTCTTATGTTAATAAAGTTACAAAAGAGGGATGATCCAAGAAAACACAAGCATAAACCTATTGCTGAATGGAGTTTATACATAAATGAGCTTTCAAGGGACCCTGAAGTTGTGTTTGCCTGACAGGTTAATGTTTACATCATCAGAAACATTCTTTCTGTGCACATTATAACATTCCAAATTCCCAATAGTTTTAGAGAACATTTTTTTTTCAAAACTGTGCATCAGTTACTTATAAATTCACTGCTATTTATGCAACTTAGTAGAGTTAATGATTTGTAAATCTTTCTTACCTCTCACTTTTGGGCATTTGGAGAGATCTGTAATTTGTCTCCTAACATTGAACAAAGACCTCTTTTCAGGTAGGTTGATACTTCTTTCTGCTTGTTGATTTTGGAATGCTGGAAGTTGCACTGAGATTAAGTTCTAAGAGGGCAATTGAAGGTTAGTTGGGTGTTTAATTAAAGAGTTGGGGAGAGGTTGTCAACTCAAACAGATACACCCTGCCATTCAGCTCTCATTCCTGTACTAAACAGAGCTCTGTTTACACATGTTTCTGCCTTTCTGTATCACATGCTTCCCAACCAGTTTCTTTTACAGAAACGTTCACATAGGGGGTATTGCAGGGCTGAGACTGAGAGTTTCAAAGAGACTTGCCAATGAAGGTTGGCAAATGGCATATAAACCTCTTGCTTCTAACAACACCAGATGACTTTCTGAGAAGGAAAGGAACTGAAAATACTCTACAAAAAACTTTAAATTCAGTGGCTTTCTCTTAATTATATTAAGGATGCCATTCAAAGATAGTATAAGATAGTATAAGATACACCTTTAGGTTTAAATATGACTTAATTGAAGTTACACTGCTACAGGGCTGAAATCAAGGTGGGAATAGAGAGTACGGTGTAATTGCAGTTGAACTGTTCATAATGCCAAACATTTAAAGACTTCACCATCTGTCACCAGCTTGCCTGCTCAGGCTTCTAGATACCAGTAACTCACAGGCATGGCCCTCATTTTTCTGTGTACTTGTCTTTTTCAGGCCATTCCTTTGGTTTGTAACACCTTCTGCTAGCTCTACTTTTCTGAATCACAATTCTTCTTAAGATCTATTCCGGATAATACCTTCTTCAGGGTTAGTTTTTCATCCTCAGACTAATTTTGCACTCTCCTTATTTTGTCTCAATTTTTCTTATCCCTATCAAACTTTCTTCCTCTTTATGTAAAGGTAGGGCGTCCTTTACTAAACTGCATAGAAATAATGATTTATTTTCATATTCTGCAGTATCTAGCATAGTGCTTTGCCTATGATAGATATGCAGCATGTTTTTTTTAATGAATCAATGTGAAAATTTATTTCTCAGAAATGATTGCATTTACTAGGAAATAATTCCAAGGATTTTTACTCTATTTTATACATCAAATTGTGATTAAGCCTCCTAGAGAAAAAAAGAAAATTGCCCCTGAATTATTAGAAGGGAAATTTTTCTCCTTGTGGACATTTTTAGGCTGTTTGATTTCTTGTGGAAAGCTCATTGGTTAGGCTACAAGTGTTATAACAAAAGGAGTAATTATCATTATTGTTTGCCAACTGTGCATCAAATACAAAGTCTCTTGTATTTGAGCCCATTTGTTTTTAACATCAACCATCTGAAGTGAGTCTCTTATTACTCGTATTATATGGATGAGGAAGTGACTTGCCCAAGATGACACAGTTGTAAGCCACAGAGCCAGGACTGAAGCCAAGGCCATCCAGCTTCTGAGCTTGTTAATGTCCTTATAGTGCTGACCTCAGAGTCATCACATAGGTTGGCTACCACCAAGAACTGCTGTCCCCTGACAGGCTGTGAGTGGTGTCCAAGTGCACCTGAAACTGCAAGAACACTTCCAAAAATAAGGACCATAATCTTGGTAGCTTTTGTTACAATCCATTAAAGTTTTTATTGAATCTATTTAGATCTCCAGATTTTCGGTTTATATGTTTGTTTGTTTGGGGTAGCTGAAATTGAATACAGGGGTGCTTAACCACTGAGTCACATCCCCAGTCCTTTTTTCTTAAAAGAAAAAAAAATTATTTAGAGACAGGATCTTGCTAAGTTGCTGAGGCTGGCATTAAACTTGTAATCTCCTTTCTCAGCCTCCTGAGTTCTTGGGATTATAGGTGTGCACCACTGTGCCCAGCCCAGATAATTTTGATTGAATAAGTGAACCGTAGTCATTTTCTCAAGCCTGGATAGGACATCATCATTAGAGATGCTCACAGGATTTTAAGGCTTGTTGGCCTTCCAGGATAAAGTCCAACACCCATAGCTTTGAGCCCATTGCTATGTCTACTGGAGAAAGGAGCTAGATCCAGCATCATTTGAGGTCTGTGGACTTGTGGGTAGAGTGCTCTATGATTACCTTAAGGCAGGAGGTATTGAAATCACCAAATAAGGTTAAATATTTTATCATGTTACCAGTCATTTTTTTTTTATTGTACTAGTCCTTCTTCTTCTTATTCTTCTTTTTTTGTGGAATGTTAGAAGGAAACAGACTAATAACTAATTACATATATTACAATAACAATATATTGAACAACATTATCCTAAATTGATTAATATTCCTGAGACTGGGAAGCAAGGTAAATTTGTAAAAAATAG